GGTTCGGTCAGGGCTCAGGACAGATCGTCCTGGACGACGTGAGCTGCTCAGGACAGGAGTCCTACCTATGGAGCTGTCGCCACAGAGGTTGGCTCTCTCATAACTGTGGACACCATGAGGACGCTGGTGTCATCTGCTCAGGTGGGCTTCAAGATCACTCAAGCACGTTCTGGGGTTGGTACTACTCATAGAAGACACGCTTTCGCTCCCAGGGACCTGCCTGGAGCCCAAACCATGCATCCTGTCGCTCTTACTTTCCCAGGTCATCTGGTGGCTCAGGGGCCATGTCTGGCCACCTAGTGGGAGAAACAACATGGCCTGCTCCATCCCCCATGCTACCAACTCTAGCCCAATGTTTGCTTGGGGGTAACGCTGGAAAATTGCTTGCACAAGACCAAGCACACTGAGGGCAGAAACAATAAGCCTTTTCTTTAGATACAGGATCATCCACTCATTACAAACCCGCATTTAACATGGTGAGACCTTCTCACAGGCAGAGGCTAGGGATGGTAAATTCACAACCCCTAACCCTCAGTGGGTGTATTGATTTGAGTCAAGCCATTAGGTGACTCAGAGAGGAGGATTCAAGAGTATATAAAATATGCATGAAGTGCTGTGAGCTGCAGTAGGAAAGGGAGATAAATGGTATAAAGAATTGTAGGTAGGTAGCAAATGTTTGCTAATGACAGCTATGGCAGTGGGGATGGGAGTAAAATCCCATTCAGAAACTCTTGGAATCAATGTGCAATCTCAGAGTCATGGCACCCGGAGGGTTGGGTAATGGGTCTTCTTACTGACTGTTGGGTTGATTGTTGGCGGATCCTGTGAAGGATGATGTCATGGCAATTCTGGCCTGTTCCTCTCAGGGAAGTGGCTTCTATAGTCTGGTCAGAAAGCCCTCAGGTAAACAATATCAGTGCTGGCATGGGACAGATGCACGTGCAACTCCTGATTGGGATTGGGTTTGTGCTCTAGCAAGACAGCAAGCCCCAGAAGGTGGCCCTGGTGCCAGGTGGCATTAGGGTTAAAGAAGGAGGTGGCCTCCACGTTCTAACTGAGAAAATGTCATAGCCTTTGATGATCTATTGGAATCTATATGGTCATGTCACACACCCTGCTCACTTCTTTGCTGAGTGAGCTGCAGAGAAGAGATGCCCAGCACATGCAATGTGGCAATAGGTGGGAAGGTTCAGATGAAAATATGAAGGATGTGTGGCCTGATCCAGGGCTTGCATGGGAACAGGTCCCGTCTTCAGTAAGGTTGACCTATATCTTTTCTCTCCGCTTTACCCCTTTCAGTTTAACAGTGAATACAGCTTCACCCACGTCGGAAATAGGTACATTTCCCCACAGCTATCACTACCAGTCACTGCACTCCATATACTCAAGTGTTGAGTTGAGCGTGCAGAAATTTTGGGGCTGGAAGCATTAGTCAAAATGTCCTTCCTTCCAGAAAATTATCAGGACACTATGTAAATGGGGGAGCACATCACACTCCATAGACCAAGGAACCAGGCCGAATCTCAAAATAACTCTCTATGATTCCCCAAGAGCGACTGGTCGGTGCCCAGTTTCAGGATGGGTGGTTCTCTGGGTGCTTATTGCCAGACCTGACGGTCTCTGCAAATGCAGGCTGGCCTGGCCATGGTGTGCTGTGAGGCCACAGGCTGCATAGTGGGACGGGGGTGTATCCGGCTACCATCAAGGCCAGCATGTAGAGCAAAGTGAGGTCATCCTGGTGTCAAAGGGTCCCTGCCCAGGTTGGGAAGGAGGAGTCAGGGGTGTGGCCCTTACAGCACAGGATTCCTGAGGCCCAAGATGGGAAGGGGATCATGTCCTTTTCCTTAAGAGAACTTTAACCGGCTGACAAAGCTTTGGTTATTGGGAATTAGGTTTCGCTGCTTCCAAAGCGTAGGGCATTGCCACTCAAGACAGAATCTTATTAGAAATAATTGTGTCACCTCCTAGGGACAGAATCTGATTTGGCCCTGAGACTGGTGAATGGAGGGGACCGGTGTCAGGGCCGTGTGGAGGTCCTGTACCGCGGTTCCTGGGGCACCGTGTGTGATGACAGCTGGGACACCAATGATGCCAACGTGGTCTGCAGGCAGCTTGGCTGTGGCTGGGCTGTATCAGCTCCAACAAATGCCCGGTTCGGTCAGGGCTCAGGACAGATTGTCCTGGACAATGTGAGCTGCTCAGGACATGAGTCCTACCTATGGAGCTGCCGCCACAGCGGTTTGCTCTCTCATAACTGTGGACACCATGAGGATGCTGGTGTCATCTGCTCAGGTGGGCCTCAAGATCACTCAACCACCTTCTGGAGTAGGCTCTATTCATAAAAGACACGCTTTCCCTCCCAGCACCTCTACCTGGGGCCTCTCCCATACATCTGTGTTCTCACTTTCCCAGGTCAGCTTGTGGTTCAGGTGCCATGTCAGCCCCTAGCTGGTGAAATAGTATGCATCATTTGGAGAACCTTACTGAGGGCAGAAACAATTAGCTCTTTCCTTAGATGTGAGGCTGGCCATCCATTCTTACCCCATTCTACCTGGTGTGACTTCTCACAGGCAGAGGATTTAGGTGGTAAATGTACCGCCCATTCCCCTTGATGGGTGCATTGATTGGAGTCTTCCCAAATCCATCTAAGAGAAAAATTCAAATGCAATATGTTCATTTGTGGGGGATGTGAATGTATTAGGGAGGTCAGGTAAGGTCATAAGGAAGGCAAGTGTGTAATAACTGCTTTTCTGATAAGCCACCTCTGACAATGGGAACTGGAGCTAATCCCATGGAGAAAATCTACAAATTGGTGTACAATTTTAGGAGTATCTACCTGAAGGGCAAGGGAGATGAGTCCTCCTAGAATAACTGCTGAGGGTAACTGTTCGGTGCTCCTGTGAGGGGCTAATACCATGGTGCTTCTGGCCTGGCACGTGCAGGGCAGTGGCTTCCATAGTCTGGGCAGAAAGCCCTCACGCACAGAGGGGCCCACGCTGTCATGGGACACTGGTGCCGCTCCCAGAAGCAATTGGAGATTTTTTATGGACACCTGGCCATGTCCTCGCAGTGGTACATGGGCAGCAACAGCTGATGTTGTAAATATGCTGTTTCCTCGACACTGATTCCAGTTGGGCCTTCTCTGAGCAACGCATCTGACTGTATTTCTTTTTCCCACAGCTGCCGTGCTCAACTCTACCCACAGGCCGGGTGAGTCCACAGCTTACAGGGGTGTCCCTTCCCTTCCTCCCCACCTCAGCTCCACCCCTTCCACACTCTGCAACCCCTCCTCCATTCCTCTTTGCAGAAGCTCTCAGACCTATCCTTTCTTCCACCACCTTGTCATGGCACTGTCCACCAGCATACTTCTTATCTACACAGTCATTAAGATTCACTTCACAAGAGCCGTAGAGTTCACATTTGGCCTTAGTTTCCCTTAGAAGGACATAGGACAGAAAGCAGCTTCCAGAAGGCAGTCTATGCTAGCTTCCTTACTAGGAATCCTTGCAGGGGTCCATATAGTAATCTAGCGCAAGTCTCTGGTTACACCAGCCCAGGCACAAAGAGACACGATTCACTCAGGTGGAATCTCTCCCAGCCCCAGCTATTCCTACTGCATAGGGATGACCCAAAATTCAAAGAGAGGCTTCATTGCCCACTTTGACTTTATCTTTTTCTTAAAGCTTTTTTCTTAAAACATTTAAGCTTACTTCTTTAGGTTGGGGAGACCACACAACCCCTTTTATGGTAAGCACCCTTTGGTTTCTTCTTGGAATTTGAGGTTACTTATCATAGACAATTGGCCTGGATGAAATCCATCTAGCAGCTGTCTTCTCAGGATTGGATCTCAGGTTCCATTGCCCACACCCTCCCAAAGTCTTTGTCCCAGTGTGACCTCATAAGAAGCTGATAATAATTAAAGAGACAGTCAGGAGATAACACATCCTAATCTGAAAGTGATGGGAACTCAAAACTCAAACTAGCTTAGACTACGAGGGGATACTTTGCAGTTGGCTCATATAACTGGGAAGTGCAGGTGTTCAGACTTTAGGCACAGCTGGATTCAAATGCTCTAAGGAAGTCATCAAGGCTTTGAATCTTTCCACTTGTCCTGCATGTGCTTCTCTAGGGCTTCAGTCTCAGGCAGCTCCTCCCTATGTTAGGAAAGATAGCATCTGTCTTTCCCAAGTCTGTCCCTTACCAGCTTAGACACCCTAGAGGAAAGGGACAGCCATTCTTGAAACCCCTGACAAACAAGTCCTGGGGTACAGTCTGATTGGTCTGGCTGAGCACATGTGCCTTTTGCAGAACCAATCACTGTGGCTAGGGAATGAGTCAGTCTGATTGGCTCTGTCTGAGTCACATGCCCACCTTCGTGGTCCAGGGAGGAAGCAGGGCTGAAGGTGCCCTTTGCCTTCTCTGACCATTTCTGAATAGAATCAATGAAGTTGCTCCATGTTGGTTTGTGAAATACACTTCTTATGTACCTCAGGGCTCAAGTGAGCATTCTGAAGAATGTGCACTGATCAACTATGACCTTCTGCCTGACGGAATAATTTTCATACTGGTTTTCTTGGTCCTTGTACCAGAGTCACCCTCAGCAAGGCCACGTCTGCTCCAGACAGAAGGAGCATTGTTCATGTACTGGCTCTTGAGAGGTCTGATTTCCTCCATTATGTACTCATAGCTTGGTGATGGACACAGGTGCATCAACCAGTAACCTATCATCAGACATAGGCAGGGGAAGAGTTGCTAATGGAGAAAAATAAATCGCAGACTTAGAGACTTGGATGGCACCAGTCTGACTTCCTACCTCCAGGGACTTTCACAGATAACCTCCTGAGAGGTAGAGACCTTTCTTGACTTGTACAGGATGCACGGCCAGTGAGGGGTGGAGTCCCAATGTGGGATTCAGGGCCATGATGTCTGACTGGCCACATGGGTTTTGGTATGTGGTCCTCTTCCTACAATGTCTAAATCTGTTTTTTCTCCTCTGTTTGCATTCTCATCAAGGCTTTCTTGTCTTACTGTGACACGCAGGCAAGAGGGAAATGGGAAAAGCCCCAGCTCCCCAGTGTTGCTTTCAGGGTCAGACAACAAGCAGCACAGACAGGGGAAATGTCTCCCTGCCCAAAAGCCCCCAACAAAAGCCCTTTTATGGACCTTGGGCAGGCAGGGGGAAGGCTGAGGAGTAGAAATATACTTAGTCAATTGGGTAATAGTGTCTCAGCTGAGCCCACTGATAAGGAGGCATCTGGACTAGAAATGCAGATATGCGTAAGACGTGGCTGGCCAAGAGGAGAGGAGACCTGAGTCCTTGACTACAACTCCCTCCAGAGAACATACTAAGTCTCTTGTGAGGAGGACAGCTTCTCATAGGAGATCTGCCAGGCAAAGCCTTGTAAACGCCTATGGCTGGGCTTTAAAGTTCACACACAGTCAGTCTGGGTGACTCAGTGGATTGCTAAAATACGTAAGGCAAAGTTGGTTTTGGATCACATTGGCCACCAGCATTCACACACAAGGCTAATCACTTTAAGCTTGATAAGAATGAATGGAATCTAAGTAGGGTTTACCTGTGCCACCTTCTCACAAGAGGAAGTGGATGATAAATGCCCTGCCCTCTGTGCAGGGTACAGGCATTGGCTGAGTTTCTGACTGGCTCAGCTTCTTCAGCCTTTGTTTCCCGTGGTGACATCTTTTGTGCAGTGCATCTGACTTGACTTTCTCTTTCTCACAGCTTCCCAGTACCAGTCCACGGCCAGGCCAGGTGAGTTCTGCTGCCCCTTAACTCATGGGTGTCCCTTCTCTTCCTGTTCACCTCAACATTCCCCAACCAATAGCCACAGGAGGGGTCTGTGAAGATATTTTTGCCTCTCCAGAACCTTCCCTGATAACTTTACGGTATGTAGGTGGTACCAGTTGAGTCCACAACACATTAGTCTTGTTGTCTGGTTTAGGGGGATAAGAACACTCTGACCCCTGATGTGTGTTGCTAAGCAGAGCTCATCTAGAGCTATCCTTGGTAGAAGCGGGCTCTGTTTTTGGGTCTTTTCTACTTGAAAGCCTTGCCTGGGCCAAGAGTTATATGTGAGGGGATAACAGAGATTTCTTTAGTCATATACCCAAGGCAAAGACTAAGTAATGCTTTTGCCAAAGAACTATCTGTCAGCAGAGAATTGCAATTGCTCTTTATGGATTGCACCACCTCATTGTCATTGTTGTGGACATTCAGAGGCATGGTTTGTGCTAATTTCATGCTGTCCAGAAGAAGCCACTTTCTCTCCCTTCCTATGGAGTTTTGCAAACCCCACTGTCTCTGATCCCCAGGTACAGGTCTTTAGACCTGACACTGATCCCATGTCCACTCTTTTCTAATCCTTTTCTGTTTTTCTCCCCAGATTGGTGGCATACAACAACTCCATCTCATGGTAAGCATCATTCGGTTGCATCCAAAGCATCTAGGTTTGACATTCTTGTCAACAGGCCTGGATGCAATTCCTGGATCTTGTGTTAAGCCTCAATAGCTCACATCTCACCAAATGAGAAGGGTCCCCTTCGCCTACAGTTCTGAATTGTACTGGAAAAATTAAATCATGTTATGAAGTGCAGTGGCTGAAACCCTGAGGACTCTTGCCCAGAAGAAGAGGGCTTGTCCTGACACATCAGTGTTTCCCTGAAGAATCCTCACAATGGGGTTGTCTCTCTCTCTCCTATAGGACCCTCTTCAAATTGTGGTGGCCTCTTACTCAATGCCAGTGGGACATTTAACAGCCCATCCTACCCTGGATTCTACCCCAACAATGCTAATTGTGTCTGGGAAATAGCACTGAATTACAGTTTTCGCATAAACCTGGGCTTCACTCACCTTCAGTAAGTAACACCCAGGCCATCTGGGGAAGGGTGAGCCCCACACAAGAGACCCCGTGGTTTCGGTTGTTTCCTGGGCTGAGTGCTTGTCACACTCACGTTCCACGAACAAGGTCTGGAGTTGCTTTGATCCCTACCTTGACGTGTCAGGTAATATTGGGAAGTCCTTTGATCTGATTGAAAGGAAGAGCCACAGGAAAAACTCACATTCAACAGTATCACTCATAAGCTTCAAACTAGCTATAAAATACCAGAGCAATAAGAATCTAAATATCACCATGATAACCTAATATCATACATTTTTCTACCCAGGTTGGAGATGCACAATAGTTGTAATTATGATTATGTAGAAATCTTTGATGGACCTCTGAATAGCAGTAATTTGCTGGGAAAGATTTGTAATGACACCAGGCAAATATTCACATCTTCTTCAAACCAAATGACTGTTCGATTTCGAAGTGACATCAGTTTCCAAAACACCGGCTTTTCTGCTTGGTATAACTCCTTTCCAAGTGGTAAGTGCAAATCAGGTCCCAACCATGAGGCTCGCTGGATTTAAATACCTCCTCTTCTGCGGAGCCCTGGTGGTGCAGTGGTTAAGAGCTCGGCTGCTAACCAAAACATCGGCAGTTCAAATCCACCCGCTGCTCCTTGGAAACCCTATGGGGCAGTTCTACTCTGTCCTATAGGGTCACTAGGAGTCGGAATTGACTCATCAGCAACGGGTTAGGTTTGGTTTTCTTCCGTCTGCATGCCGGTTCCCACATGAAATCAAAGAAGGGCTTCAGTGATGCCTTGTCCATTCTCCTTGTATCACAGCTGACCGTGGTGAGCCTCAGAAAGGAGAAGGCCGTTAGCCAAGGCAGTGTGGTGTGGAGAAGAGGGGACACATCCTAGCTTTGGGGTTGCCTACAACTCCCTGGGGTACTTTATAAAAGCTAACGCTCCTTGCTGAGTCAGCACCCCGCCTCTGGAGGGTGAGGGCATCTAAGCTCCATGACGCCTGAAGCCCCTCTGGCTTTGTTATGAGGAGGTTCAGTGTCTCTTCCCTGATATTTTGTAGTGGTTAGTTGACATCACATCAGCTCTGACTCGTGGCGACCCCATATACAACAGAACAAAATGTTGCCTTGTCCTACGCCATTTTATCAGACAATATTCTTTTGTGATCCATGGAGTTTTCATTGGCTAATTTTCAGAAGTAGATCATCAGGCCTTTCTTCCCGGTCTGTCTTAGTCTGTAAACTTGGTTGAAACTTATCCACCATGGGTGACTCTGCTGGTATTTGAAATACTGGTGGTATAGATTCCAGCATCGCAGTAACACGTAATAGAATGAACTGACAGACGATGTTTACATACTATCATTTGAGGATGTTGGGGATGAGGTCAGGCCCAGGGATTATTTGGTTTTGAGATTCATTGTGGGACATTGCCATCACCTTTTACGGCATGTGTCTTTCAGATGTTGGACTGAGATTGGTCAATTCAAACACCTCCCACAGATGTGCTGGGCGGGTGGAAGTTTACCACAGTGGAACATGGGGGACAGTTTGTGATGATTCCTGGGATTTACGGGATGCTGAGGTGGTCTGCAGACAGCTGGAGTGTGGATATGCAGTGTCAGCCCTGGGAAGTGCCTATTTTGGCACTGGCTCTGGGCCCATCACCCTGGACAACGTGGAGTGCTCTGGGACAGAATCTATGCTCTGGCAGTGCCGGAACACAGGCTGGTTCTTCCATAATTGTAACCACCATGAAGATGCTGCTGTCATATGCTCAGGTATCACGTGATTCATGGGAGGCACGTTTTACCTCCCACTTGCTACGAGATGAAAGCTTAAGGCTGGTGGCTGAGGGTGTCTGTGGCTCAGTTCTGGGTGGGCAGGAGCTTGTCAGCTTGTCCCCCTTTGTCTACTCTGGAAGGCTGTGCAGGGGCCGCTTTATCTTTGGTCAGTTTCTGGGCCCCGGGCTCGATGACCTTTAGCAATGATTTAACCTCACCAAAGGTCAGTGTCTTCCTTTAAGTAGAGATGACAATGACAGTACTTGCTTCCAATGGCAATTGGAGGGATTAAACGAGGAATGCGTTTACCCTTACAGCAATTCTGGGCAAGTAGGGAGTGTTGAATAGATGACGCTAGATATGCCCTTGGCTGTGACGCTAATGTTGTTAGCTGCCAACAAGTCAGCTCCGACCCCTGACGACCTCGTCTATGACAGAATGAAACATTACCTGACCCTGTGCCATGTTCATGATTGTTGGCATGGTTGAGTCCAGTTGGACATTATTCTGTTGTGGTCCATAGGGTTTTCATTGGCTAATTGTTGGGAACAGATTGCCAGACCTTTCTTCCGAGTCTGTCTTAGTCTGGAAACTTTGCTAAAATCTGTCCATCACGGACAACCCTGCCGGTATGAAATACCAGTAGCGCAGCAACACGCAAGCCACCACAGTATGACAAACTGACAGAGAGGTGGTGGTCTGTGATTCTGATGTCCCCCAAATAATGATGGGGCAGGGGGAGCAATGGGAAAAACTCACTTAGGCACTTAGGCTTTCTCTTGAGGACAGTAACTCAGTGGGCCCTGGGGGTGCACTCAGTCATGGGATCTGGCTGTGAGTCATATGGGGGGGGGGTCTCTGCCTTTATTCAGGACACACTCCTCCTGGCCACACTTCTGTGACTGACACTTCTCTTTCTTTGTAGGGAGATACACAACCACACCTTGTAAGTACCATAATTTCCGTCTAAACTCTGGCTGCCCCTCCTCCTGCTCTCTCAGCAGCTGCTCCCTGGGCTGCTCAGGGCGTGTTGCTCACCCTTTGAAGAGTTTGCCATTGCACCCTCCATGAGGGACTGTGCCCCCTGCAGCCATGTCCCAACCCAAGGAAGTTTGGACCTCTCTCTGGTTGCTCTCACCCTGAGTGTCTCTGGAAAATTCCACCCCTCTCCAGATGGTCACCCCTCTTCAGAGGCCTTGCAGCCTAAGGCCTGAGGAGGGGTCTGCTGCCTGCATAGGCTCCTCCTGTCCTCCCGGACACCATGGTCTGGTCAGTGAAGGCCAACCGGGACCTGCTTCATGGCTGAGCTTCACATAGAACAGCTTCTATTGTCTGTTCCCGAGCTGCTCTGGATCTCCCTTGAGTATTCCCAGGACCCTCTTGGCTCCTTACTATCCTTATCCACCCCACCTCCACCTCCTTCTCACTGCCTGCTTCCTGCTGCAGCTCCCAGCTTCCTCCTCCCATGCATCCTCCATGTTGCAGCCAGAGTCACCTTTATGCAAAGCAAAGGTCGTCCTGACCTCGTTGCCCTTCAGGTGATTCCCCAGGGCCTTCTGAGTGAAGATCCCCATTCCATAGCACAATTCATCTTCTTGCCTCAAGCAGAATTCCATCTCTCTCTCCCCTCCCTGCTCCATCCACACCTGTGCCAGGTATGCTCATGCCTTGGTCCCTGTGCTGTTTCCTCTGCCTGGAACATCCTTTCTACCTTTCTGCCCTGCCCTCCTTGGTTACCTGCTCCCTTCTCCCCACCCAGTCTGGGTCAGTAGCCAAGCTTTGGATTCAGCTTCTTCCCCGGGCTTCCCTCCGCCAGCCTCATCACACTGCATAGGACTAGCTCTTTGGTGCACCATCTCCAGGCTGTGAGCTCCCGGAGGGCGAGGCCTGGCGCCAGCCCCTGTCTGTAAGCCCAGGTGGGCACACTGTCTCGCACAAGCAAGCAAGCACACAATATTTGTGTCAAATGGATGATGAAAAACTGATCTTTTTTTATAGACTTTTTAAAAGTTTTTGTAAAAGGCATATATAACACAACATTTGCCACTTCAAGATTTTTCAGGTGTGCAATTTAGTTATACTAATTACAGTAATTATGTGCAACTGTCACCAATATCCATATAGACTTTACTTTTCAGAGCAGTTTTAGGTTTGCCAGAAAATTGTACAGGAATCACAGAGAATTCCTATATACTTCCCTTCCATCTGAACAAAGTTTCTCCTGTTACCATCTTGTGTTCTTGTGGTACATTTGTTACAACAGATGAACCACTATTGATGCCTTAATATTAACTAAAGTCTGTAGTTTGCATTAAGGTTCACTCTTTGCTGATCATTATTATTTTTTTTATGTTTGTCAACAGCACCTTTGTCAACAGTTCACATCACCAACCCAACCAGTAAGTTCTGAGCTTCCTTATGAGTGTGTGGCCAAGATTCCCTGGAAACGCTCTTTCCCTTTCCCTCAGTGATGATGACACTGGAGAGATAATGAGAATGATGAAGAGATAGCTTCCCCCCTGGAAGGGTCTCCCCCCCATCCCCACCCCACCCTCATCTACGAGACCATAGAAGGTCCTGGGCCAGGCACCTCTCATTTTTGTTGGGTTTCTGTCTAAGAAATTGTTCAATTTCCCCCCAGGGGACTGTGCAGTTTGCATCATTGGCAATTCCATTTTGTTCTGACAGTAGGTTATTCCTGCGGAGGCTTCCTTTCCCAACCGTCAGGGCAGTTTTCTAGCCCATTGTATCCTGGGAACTATCCAAACAATGCCAGGTGTACCTGGGACATTGAAGTCCACAACAACTACCGCGTGACTGTCGTCTTCAGAGACGTCCAGTAAGTGCGCTGGGGCAAAGCAAAAAGCACGGGGGCCACACAGACATTTGAAAAGGGAATAAATGATACTTAGAACTTAGTAAGAAATGCTTGCCTGGTTGGCATTTTTTATTATGGGTTCAATTTTAACCTAGCATGGGGACAGTCCATGGGGGTGAGGTGGGGGTAGGAACCCTGGAAGAGACAAGAACCTGCTTTCAAGTCCCATCTCAGTCATTAATTTGCTGTGTTGCCACGGGAAGTTACTCAAGTTCTCTGAGCCTCAGTCAAAAGAGAAGAATAAAGACCTGCTCTCCTTACCTCGTGAGGTTACTGAGAGAGTCACAAGAGATAAATATATGTGAAACTACTTGGAAAATGTTTTCCAGGGGGAGGGATTGTTCTCAGGAACAATAATAGTGCAAATAATCCTATTAACAAGCACAGTATTTTATTGAAGCCTTTTCTCCCCTCCCCCCCTTTCTTCAGTTGAGTTCCCAGGGATCAGGCAGAGATGGAGAAATTGCTGTGGCAGAGTTTAGGTTATCGGTCCCTCATCTGATTAAAAAGTGGGAATCATTGCTCTAAGCAGTGGAGACATCATCGAAAGCACAATATGTGATTTATCCAAAGAGAGGGGTGGCCAAGTTGACCACAGAGAGGAACCAAATTTCCTAGTGTTCTAGACACTAGAGAATGGACAAGGGGTAGCATCACTTTTTCCCTCTAACAGCCATTGCTGATAAAATTGTTTCTCTCTTCATTTCTAGTTGTAGTGCTCTTGGGTGTCTCTGCCTTGGAAATTTATTTGGGGTTTTACAAAAAATATGCTATTACTTTAACCTCCTCCTTATTATAATCCATTTTGGATTTTGGGGATTGCAGTTAAAGCTCATGGAATCCTATGGCAGAAGGTTGACCACGGCCAGCTCTTTAAACAGCATCTTAATAACAAACCACTATTTTGACCTCTTTTGGGTGGTGCGAACGGTCAACGTGCTATGCTGCTAACCAAAAGTTTGGACATTCAAGTCCATCCAGAGGCACCTGGGAAGAAAGCCCTGGTGATGTACTTCTGAAAAATCTGCCACTGAAACCCCTGCGGAGCTCAATTCTACTCAGACACAATGGGACGGCCATGAGTCGGTATCAACTAGACAGTGACTTTTTTTTTACAGTTAGTAAAGACTACAGGGGCATATCGAGGGTAAGAAGCAGCCAGGAACAATCTCTAAATTGTGCCCCCCGCCCCATCCATTTCAAGATGAATAGACATTGATAGTGGCAATGCTTCAGCAGAAATGCCGTCCCCCCTCTTGTCCAGCTGCCTCAGTCAGGTGCCTTTCATATTTGTGGCACCGTGGAATGTCATTCCGAGCCTCATCTGGCACTCTGGCGCCTCTTTGGACTTGTGCCCAGTGGCAAGCGCTCCCCACTGTCACCCCTTGCTATGCCTCTGAAGACTATTCTATACATTTTTTCATTTGATCCTCACAACCGCCCTCTTAAGTAGGTGTGAATGGGATTATTTAACCTTTGTAAATAGGAAACTTGAGCTTTAGAGAAGTTCAGTGAATTGCGTAATATTTATTCACCAATTATTTCCATCACGAGAAACTCGCCGATATTATTTTATTCTATGGAGAACTGGGTCTTTTTGACCGAAGAAAAGTGGTCTAAGGCGTATGTGGTCCCTTCCCCTGATGATATAGAGGCCTGTCAGGAGGGTGTATACATTTATATGCGCGTTCCCAAAAGGCAGGGCCAAAAATCACACGTGCAGGTCATAGGAAGGTGAATCTCCACTCAGTGTAAGGATATCTATTATCTGGGTGATGTAAGTGGTGAAGCGCCCAGATACTAACCGAAAGGTTGGAGGTTCAAATCCACCCAGAGGTGCCTTGGAAAAAAGGCCAGGCGATATACTTCCAAAAAGTCACAGCTACTGAAAATCCCATGGAATTTGACACACATGGGGTCACCCTAAGTCAGAATCGACTCAACAGCAACTGGTTTGGTTTTTTGGGTTTTATTACCTTCATTTATTAACTCGTCATAGTTGTCAGCAAAGGTGTGACCTCTCCCTGAGACTTGACCCTCGGCATCCAACCCTGGTTGAACATGAAGCCCCACTGTGTGCTCTCTGTCCCTGCAGGCTGGAAAATGGCTGCAACTATGATTACATTGAAGTCTTTGACGGCCCCTACCACAGCTCCCCTCTCATTGCTCGGATTTGTAACGGCATGAGTGGCTCCTTCACTTCGTCGTCGAACTTCATGGCTGTCCGCTTCATCAGTGATGGCAGTATCACGAGGAAAGGCTTCCACGCCGAGTACTACTCAAGTCCTTCTAACGACAGCACCAGTAAGTCCCCCTGTGTGGGAGCTCGGGCAGTGCTGGGGCAGGTCACTGGGAGCCTCTGTTGCCTTGATGTTGAGTGTTGTAGAGTAAGAAACTAAAGGAGCCTTGTTGGTCGCTGAGGGTGATTAGGTGCCGAAAGGAGCCAAGGGCAGTGGGTCTTGGAATCTGGCTACCCAGAAGCAGGTCAAGACCCAGAACAGGCTGATCGGCGGTGTATTGGCCTCACCGTGGTCGGCAGAGACTAAGTAATAGGTGTGAGATGATGTTTTCAGCAAATGTATGGCACTCACAGGACTCTGCCTGAAGTCAGCCCATGGGGCACGGGCAGATAGGCAAACTGGCTGAGTGTTTCCAAGGAATATCAGGTGTCTGTATGACGAGGCTTCCTTTCACAGAAACAAACAGGACGGCAGCAGCTCTGTTTTACTCGGGGCTAGTCAGAGCCACCAGCACCGTTTGTTCCCCCGTGGCCAACTCCATTACCAGAGACACAGGCTGCAAGGAGTGGAGAGCACTTACGCTGTAGGGAAGAGGGCTCAGGAGTTGGGGGGAGCGGGGGAGAGGAAGGGGAGAGAGAGAAAGGCAGGAGGTAGAAGACAGAAACAGATAAGAGGAGAAGGAAAGGAGAGATAAGGGGAGTGGGAGAAAGGAGAAACAGAAGGAGGGAAGGGAGAGAAAAAGGGAAGAAAGGAGAAAGGAGAGAAAAACCAAGAGAGAGAGGAGAGAGAGGGCAGGGGCTGCTTTCCGGTAGTATGGAAGGGTAACGGCATGTGTGAGCTGTCCAGAAGTAGCTCCGAGTCGTGGGAAGAACATGGGGCTTGGATCACACAGCTTTGGGTCAAATCCTCACAGGGCCTTAGACACTTACTCCACAGCCTCTCTGAGCCTCAGTTTCCCTATCTGTAAGGCGGCAGGGCTGCTGGAGGGCTCAGCGAGATGAGCATTTGATTTGTGCAGTTTCCCCTCTCCCTCATTCCTTGAGGGCAGAACAAGGACCTGTGGGTAGAAACTGCATCTCAGCACAAGGAAGAATTGTTTTTAACCCTTCAAAGCTGTCTGAGGGTGGGCTGAGCTGGCCATTCAGATACATCCAGCAGAGGCAGCATGGACACAATCTGAGGTGTTACGGAGTCTGACTTACAGACTGGCTGAGGGCTGGGTGACAGCAAAGTTCTCGTAAGCAGTCAGGTTTTTATACACAGATTTCCTCCATGGCTGGATTATTTCCCAGCATTCCCACAATTCCACTGTTACTCACTCAGTGTAGACCTGGTAACCTGACGAGACATTTCCCTTATTTTACCCTTGCCTCCACTGCTCCATCAGAGAAAGCCTGAGTCCAGGTGTCCTCCTTGGGATCTCATGAGGATAGGACTGACGTGAGCCGTCGGGCACCTGGGGGCTGCGGGGAGCTATGCCCGATGGTACACCCTGAGTGTCGGCCATGTGTGTCAGGCATCTTGATCTGCCCACCTTTCTATGGGAAGAACACCAGTAGGACTTGCTAACCTTCGGGCGCTAACCGAGTTCACTGTCTGCCCTCATCCCTCAGAGCTGCTGTGTCTGCAGAATCACATGCAAGCCGTGGTGAGCAGGCGCTACCTCCAATCCCTGGGTTATGTGGCTCGGGATCTCATCATCCCCGGCTGGTCCGGGAGTTACCAGTGTCAGAGCCAGATAACGCCAAGCGAAGTGATATTCACAATCCCCTATTTGGGCTGTGGCACCGTCAAACAGGTAAGCCTCAGGCTTCCCACTCTTTCCTATTGAGTGAATTTCCTTATTGTGATAAGTGTCATGTGTCTTGAATTTTGGGGACCCAGGAGATGGGATTATAGTATAATCAGCACGTAATGAGTGGAAACCTGTTACCATCGAGTCGATTCCGACTCATAGCAACCCTATAGGACAGAGTAGAACTGTCCCATAGGGTTTCCAAGGCTGTCATCTTCAGAAGCAGACTGCTATGTCTTACTCCCAAGGAGCAGCTGGTGGGTTTGAACCACTAACCTTTCAGTTAGCAGCTGAGTGTTTAACCACTGTGCCACCATGGCTCCTTATGAGTGGAAACCAAGCTGTAAATCTGTTCTTTGGTGCCATTACCTGGCTCCTCAAATAGTAGTAGGAGTAGGAGGTCTCTGTCCAGATCTGGAGGAAGGAAACGCAGCAGACAGGGTTTCTGTAGGACTGTCCAGCCGAGACGGAGCTGGGCAGAATGCCATGCACCTCAGCAATCAAAATAGCGCCCCCAGCGGTAGCAAAAGAATACACATATATCTTACTTTCATAACTTTTACAAAAACTGAATGCCTCAAGGGCAGGGCCACTGCCTTCTTCATCTTTGCAACCCCACACTGTCTCTGGTTAAATAATAGGATTATTAACACCTAATGTTGGAGGTTTGAACCCACCCAGAGGTGCCTCAGAAGAAAGGTCTGGCGATCTGCTCCTGAAAGTTCACAGCCCTGAAAACCCTAAGGAACCCAGTTCGACTGTGCAGCACATGGGGTTGCCACGAGTCAGAATCAACCAGAAGGCAACTCGTTTGCTTTGGTAGTAATACGCATGCCAGGCACTGAACCAAGAGCGAGATCAGGGAGAAAGGAGAAGAGAAAAAAAAGAGAGAGAAGTGAGGAGACAGAAAAGAGAGAGAGAAGGAGGGAGAGGGAAAAGAGAGGAGGAGGGAGAGGAGAGAGAGAAAGGAGGAAGGGGATAGAGAAAGAGAAAGGTCCAGCTTTTATTCCCCTTTCATCATGAGGAAACTGAGGCTTACAGAAGTTAAGCCACTGGCGCACGGCCACTCAGTCTTGCATTGTGGAGCCGTGATTCAGAGGCAGGGCTGGGGGATCCAGAGTGGAGTTTTCCCACTCTTCCAGGCTTCCCCGTTTGGCGGGTGTCTGACACGTGGGGAGGCCGAAGAGATGATGTCTGCCACCACACGAGAGGTTTCCCATTGGAGCAGGAGGAGTCCCAGTGTCTATGGAAATGTCTGGAAGATTTTCCATTACATACTGAGCTGACTTCCTTACAAACTATGCAGGCTTCTAACAATTTTAATCTAAAATTAGAACTGCTTCTTATGGATCAAAAAATAAATCTGCCCTCAATGTTCATTGTCTGGAGCAGATTTAGAATTTAGCTGGACCCTAGAGACCACAGATAGTGTGGATTCTGTGAAAACTTTCCTGTTAATGTACAGAGTTAAATCGAAAGCACCTCAACTTGTCTTTGAAGGAATGAGGAACAAGGTGACAAAATTCATATGGTTTACTGCGATGACCTTTGGGCTCAAATATAAAGTAAAAATTATTATTTTTAGGAAATACAAAGGCAGAAAATGTAGTACGTTTTCTATGAGTAGGTAGAGAGCATAGAGCCCATTCATGGTCTTTTCCTAGACCTGGGCCCGAAGTGCGGGTTCTGGCGCCCCCTGCAGCCCAGGCTGGCCCTGCCCCAGGCCCTGGTCCGCCTGGGACTGCCGAGGCCTCACACGGCCCTCCCAAGGAGGAAACCAGAAACAGGAAATCAGAGAGAAGTGGAGGACGGACGGTCCGAGAGCGGGCAAAACCACTTTAAGTTTCTTGTTGAACTTTTTCTTTTCAAATGTTTTGTTTGGAAGGGATGTATGCAGAGTGGAGTTCTGTAACCGCGGACAAGAAGTGAAAGACCCTCCAGCATATTCCATTCTGAAAAATCATTAGATTTAAGTCGTACACGTGCTGGCTTCAGAAGGGAACTTCTCTGCTGTCCCAACGGGCCAGGGATAGAGTTTTGCTCTTGACAGTATACGTGACAAACATTTTCCTTTTGAAGAGTTAGGTTGCTTTATATTTTAGGACTGCTGTTCAGGCCACAAGGAGGCCTGGTGGCACAGTGGTTAAGCACTCGGCTACTAACCAAAAGGTCAGCAATTTGAACCCACCAGCGGCTCCAAGGAAGAAAGATGTGGCAGTCTGCTCCCATAAAGATTACAGCCTTGGAAACTCTATGGGACAGTTCTATGATGTCCTACAGGGTCACTATGAGTCACAATCAACTCAATGGCAATGAGTTTTGGGTTTATTTAGGCCACTCTGTTGCTATCCATAAAGTTTTAATTGGCTAATTTTTAGAAGTAGATCACCAGGCCTTTCTTCCTAGACTTAGACTGGAAGCTCCACTGAAACCTGTCCACCATGAGTGACCCTGCTGGTATTTGAAATACTGGTGGCACAGCTTCCAGCATCACAGCAACATCCAAGTCACCACAGTATGACAAACTGACAGACAAGTGGTTGTGTTTTGTTGTATTATACGTACGGTCGCTATGAGTTGGAGCCGACTCTATGGCAACTTACAACAACATTTAGGCCATTATGGTGTTATTTTTGTGTTCGTTCTTGCAAAAACACCATTGCATGCTAGGATCCAGACCTGGCAGGAGAAGTTTGCTTCTGACCATCACGGCGTTTGGGAGGGGAAATATCCCCGAAGCCTCCAGCCAGCAGTACCTCACCTCAACTGCAGGCCAGGTGATCATAACCATGGAGCTTGCAGAGCCTTGTTCACCTATGTCTTCTTGGCCAGTTGGACCCACTCCTCCCCACCCCATCCTCCACTCATGACAGCATTTTTCTGGGCCCCCAGCCCCTGTACATTTCATTCATCCCACTGTCACTGCTGTTTCCAGACTCTTGGCCAACCTCAGGGAAAAGAGAGATGTTTAGACATCATCTGCCCATGAGATGCTCACAGGCCACCGGATGTAAGGCCTCATCTCTGGAAAGGTCGTTCTTAAGAGACGGTAGGCACATCAAATGGCATGAGAGACCAATGTTCTTAAGAATTGGCTGCTCAGTTAAAGGCACAGTAGGAAATGGCCCCGTGGCACAGAGGGTGAAAGAACAGATGGGGCAGGATGCTCCAGCATTGCCGTGGCCCACCCAGTGTCCATACGAGTCTCTGAGAAGTCCCTTCCCTGGAGGTCAGAGACAGGCAACAGCCATAACTCCTGATTGTCATTCCAGCTCCAGAAGCTTCAGACACCAAGCTGGAACAGCTCCCAATCAATCAAACAGCACACAGTGAACACTGACCCCACCAAACCCCACTGTCAAAAGCACAGGACAACCTCCCTTGGTCTCCCCCAAATCCCCACAACAAGAGTGAGAATGAAACAGAACAAGCAAGAAAAGCTCTGAGCCATGGAGTCAAACTCAGTTATATGGCAGGGCAAGAGGTTATCCAGATCCAGCCATCTTGACACCCGGAGGAGCACCCAGCACAACCCAACAACTGACCCACACCATGGTCTCCCATCGTAGGGTACAGGAAGTAGGACATGGGAAAGGAGGGGGTCTTGCTAGTTAAGTTGGATGTCCAGCCCAGGTAATGGGAGCCATGGCAGTGGGTGTGCGCCATCTTTGTGTGGAGCTGGGAGGGCTTGGGGAGTGTTGTTGGGCCCCTTCCCTCTCATTGTAACCCACATCAGCAGTGGGATTCCTTCCCAGGTGGCATTTGCCTGACTTTGCTCTCCTGCTTGCCTCTCCTAGGTAGACAATGATACCATCACCTATTCCAACTTCCTCAAAGCAGCTGTTTCAAGTGGCATCATCAAAAGGAAGAAGGACTTGAACATTCACATCAGCTGCAGGATGCTGCAGGACACCTGGGTTGACACGATGTACATTGCTAATGACACCATCGAGTTCAAGGAAATCCAGTATGGCAACTTCGATGTGAACATCTCCTTTTATACATCCTCTTCATTCTCCTATCCTGTCACCAGCTCCCCGTACTATGTGGACTTGAACCAGGAATTGTACCTTCAGGCTGAACTCCGTCATCCCGATGCCTCCCTGGCCTTGTTCGTGGACACTTGTGTGACATCACCATATTACAGTGACTTTACATCTCTGACTTATGACCTAATCCGGAGCGGGTAAGGATTGTCTTTATGGGATGGACTTAGATCTTTACCTTATGACTCAGACATGAGTAGACCAAAAGGCTTGAGGACTGGGGATTCTGGTTCATCGAATTCCCAGTAGCTCAATCTTAGACAGATGCCCTTTCTATATATAGTAACACACTGTAGCTTTTACGTTTTGAAGCTTTTTTGTGTTGTGTCCTGGACCACAACCCTAATGACAAGGACATCATCCCTGGTTGACACATGGGAAAATGGGTGTCTGGAGAATTGAAGCACTCCCCAGGGGTCACCAGCAGATTAGCTGTAAAACTCAGACTAGATCCCATGTGATCGAACTCCAGCCATGCCTTAGTGTTAGGAAGCTGTGTGTGGAGGGGAAAAAGCACTGGTTTGGGAGTTGAGCAGACCAAGATTGAAATGCCAGCTCTGCTGCATACTAGCTGCATGACTCCAAGCCACGGTTTTGTCACCTGTCAAATGGGGATCATGATGCCCACGTTGGAAGGTTGTTGGGAGGATTAAATGAGAAGGAGTAGATGATGCCCCGGGCACAGCGTGCACAGCAGGTGGTCTCCAAGGAGTGTTCTACCAAAAGCGGCAGGAGGTCATCTTGGCCTCCATCAGCTGGAGGACAGTAATTCTCAGAGTCTATGGTTCCAACTGAGCTCAGAAGGTGCAGAGGTGAGGCAGCAGTGCCCAGGCTGGGCTGCCCTACCATAGGCCAGCTTCCCTGGGTGACGGGACTCTGCTTCGGTGAGGTTTGATTCTTCTGAGTTCATGGAGGGGTCCTCAAAAATCAGGGTGAGCAACTCTTAATCCCCACTCTTTAGTCTCTGTACACTGGCGCATACACCATTTCCTGGCCTATTCTAGACCTCAGCCCCTCTGTAGCAATGGCCCCACCAGAGAAGTTATACTAACAGGGTAAAGGGCTCTGCTAGGAATTGGGAGCAGGGGTTAAACGTCACACGTTCCTGACAGATTCAAGACAGCATCTCTGCCCAAGCACAGTTGGATGTGCGTCATTTCAGGACACAGGTGTTGAGGCGCGTCTTGCTTACAGTCTAGGCACAGATAGTTCACCCCACAGCTGTTCCCTTAGCAGCAAAGATGGAGGAGAAAGTGTAACCAGATCCCCTTTCTACAAACAGTGACTTATGAATTTATGCCAAACAAATGACTGAAATTGATGCAGTGAGTGAGTGATTCGATTCTTCCCTGCAAATCGATTCAAAATTCTGAGATATATGTGTATATAAGATAATGCACATGGGGGTAGGTGTGTTCCAACGGCACCTGGAATACAGGAATTCATTACCTACACCTGGCCGTCAACTGGCTTCCCGTGACAATCACCTGGGACTTCAAACACACAGGTGTCCAGGCCCCCTCGGACATTCCGTGTATTTGCTCTGCAGCAGGGCTCTGGTGCCTGTACTGTTAAGCTCTCCCCGGGTGATTCTGAAGGACAGCCTGCGCTACGAGGCTCTGGTCTGCACAGAAGCCCCTGGCTGATGGGGTTTTAGGGAAAATACCATTACTGCCCAGCCCGCTCCTCAACTACCCAGCCCACCTCCACACCAGCCTCTGGGTGCCTTCTCCCCACCTTTGCCCCTAAGGGGGCTGCTGTGAGGGAAAACCTGGGTACTTGAGCGAATCTGAGTTGGAAGTGGAAGAAGGAAGGAAGCTCTGGAAGGCAGAAGGAGGACAGTGAGCCAGCCTGGGTCACATTTCCAGGCCAAGCCCTGCGTGACCACTCCCATCCACCTACAAAATGTCCTCGCTAAAGCCCACAGGGCCCTTCCTCGCTCTGCTCCTTGCCACAGCCCTCGAAGCCCTGCCTTAGGGATGCTCGTGGGTGAGTGCAGCTGCTTCCTTCTCTGTGGGTACCACAGGGGCTGCACCCTCGGGGATGTACCGATCGCCATGTCTCAGGGAAACTCCTTTAGGAGACTGGCTGTTTTCCTTCTAACACGGGCAGTGATGTGGTGCCCAGGGGAACGAGGCAGAGATGTGGTGCCCAGGGGAATGAGGCAGAGATGCAGTGCCCAGGGGAACGAGGAAGGGGTTGATGTTGGGTAGGAGTGCTGGAGGGCAGTCAGGCCTGTGGTAAGAGCAGCTGCTGGGGCTCAGGGCAGGTTGAGGTGGGCCAGGAGAGAGACCCTGGTAGAGGGAGGGGCAGGAGGGGGGCACCAAAGGTACCCAGAGCAAAGCCAAATGTTACCTTCCTCCCTGCCTTCTCCTAGGCTCCAAACTCGAGCTACTTCCCTGACTCACCTGGACTATCTGAGGCCACTGAGCCCAGGGTCCCCATGGTCATTGTGGGATTGGGCCCCAACCCACTGTGCAATATAGGGCCCGTTAGCCAATCTGGAAATCCCGGGGTGATTTGCAGCTTAAAGACACCACTGGCGTCCCAGAGTTGCCAGGACTTGCCCGCATGTCTGACAGTGACTGCACAGTGCATCCCGCAGGCAGGACGGGCAGGTGGCGCGGGTGGTGTGGGCAGCGGGGCGGGCGGGCAGCTCCCTGCCCAGTGCACCGAGAGTCGCGGAGAAGGGTCCGGTTCACTGGGGAGGGCTGACGAGCTGCTTTTCTTGTCTTCCAGGTGCGTGAAAGACGAAACCTACCGATCCTACTCCCAGCCGTCGCCACGCATCGTCCGCTTCAAATTCAACTCCTACCACTTCCTGAACCGCTTCCCATCTGTGTACCTGAAGTGTAAGATGGTGGTGTGCAGGGCCTACGACTACTCCTCACGGTGCTACAGAGGCTGTGTGGTGAGGTCCAAGCGGGACCTGGGCTCCTACCAGGAGAAGGTGGATGTCATCCTGGGCCCCGTTCAGCTGCAGGCCCCAGAGAAGCGGAGCCTGGGTAGGGGGTCGCCCTCTGACCTCACTGCCCACCGGGTGCCAGCCCCATGACCCCTGAGGAGCTTGGAATGTCTCCGTTGGTTTCATGTTTCAACTAGAATTGAGCACCTACTATGTGCGGGGCCTGACAATACAGAGTTGAATGAGACATGGTTTCTATCTTCTTTGGGGGGTGGGGGGCTCATGATCTGTGGGGACCATGTGGAAGGTTTGGTCAAGAGGGCTGTGATCTGGGAGGCAAACGCCCTGATGCCCTTATCCTGTGGATTCTCAACTCCCAGGACCTCACATTCCTCATCTGTGAAATAAAAATGTTAATACTTACCTCCAAGGACAGTTGAGGAGGTTACATAAAATATTTCAAATTCTCAAGGACTCCAGACTTGCTGGAGCCATGGAGGCTGGACAAACCCCTGAAACTATCGCCCTGAGATCATCTGTAAACCTTAAACCAAAAACATCCCCTGAAGTCTTCTTAAAACCAAACAGTAATCTAGCTAAACTAGTAAAAAATGTCTGTCCTGAGCATTATGCTCTTTTAAGAACCATCTATATGGGATCAAAGTGACAACGGCAACTCAAAAGATTAGATAGGAACCTTAGGGGGCAGGGAGTTTATGTTAATGAAGGGGGAGGAACAACTCAGAAAAGGAGGGTGGGAATGGTTGCACAACTAGAGGAATGTGATCAATGTCACTAAATGGTGCACGTAGAAAAAAAAATAGTTGAATTGCCTACAACAGTGCCTGGTTCAAGACATCGGGCACTCAGTGAGTAGGTTATTATTGTATGGCCACCAACATGAACAACATTGACCACAGTATTATCACGATGATAATAACTGCAAACTGTAATGCCAAAAAAGCAGAACCAAACGCACTGCCTTTGAGTCGATTCCCACTCATGGCGACCCCATGCGTTGCACAGTAGAACTGCTCCATAGCGTTTTCTTGGCTGTGATCTTTATGGAAGCAGATGGCCAGGCCTTTCTTCCACAGCACTGCTGGGTGGATTTGAACCACTAACCTTTAGGTTAACAGTCGAGCACAAACCATTTGCACCACCCATGGTTAAGAGCTTAGGCTGCTGACCAAAAGGTCAACAGTTCGAATCCACCAGCCGCTCCTTGGAAACCCTACGGGGCAGTTCTACTCTGTCCTCTAGGGCCGCTACCAGTCGGAATCGACTCAACGGCAACTGGTTTATTTTGTTTTCTTAGGTGTATTGCAGTTGGAGTCTGGGCAGGGTGGTGGAAATGCGGGCACGATGGATTTGTTCTGTCTGCTCACGGGTGGGACGTTGGACAAGCCGTCCTTCCTCCGTAGAATGGGGTGGTAATTCCTGCTGTGCTGTTTTGTTGGTGTGGATGAGGAAAAGCTTGCAGAGTGAGTCCCAGGATCTGGCCCAGACAGCGCAGGTCGATAGATGGCATGGGGGTAGGGTGAGGTGGGGGTGACAGTAGCTGGAGTTGTTACACATCCTCCCTTAGATCCACTCCATGGAGCTGTTTCTCCCTTGTGCCCTATATGAAGACGGTCCCCAAGTCCAGCTGACTCCAGCCTCTTTCCTCATTCATTCATGCATTCAGAGCATATTTAGTGAAGGCCTACTATGTGCCAGGGTGGTACAAATGGTTAGCACACCCAACTGCTAGCTGAAAGGTTGGTGGTTCGAATCCACTCAGAGGCCCCTCAAAAGAAAGGCCTGGTGATCTACTTCCAAAAAATCAACCATTGAAAACCCTGTGGAGCCTAATTCTACTCCGACACACATGGGGTCGCCATGAGTTGGAATTGAACTGATGGCGCCTGGTACCGGTAGCACGTGCCAGGAAACAAATAAATAAACAGAACTAGATAAAAATCCTGCCTGTGTGGAGCTCACACTCCAGTGGGAAGAGATGGACTCGAGAAAGAAGTAACAGTGGTGTGTCCCATGGGGCAGGAGATCTGGTGGGAGATACAGGAGAGAAGGGTGACAGGACGGGGGTGAAGGGAGCCTCATTTCCCCCTCCTATCCCCCCACCCCCGCACTAGCTCAGTCCTGGGTACCCCTTGCCTGAGCCTCTTGTAATAATTTCCCAATTGGCCTAAAATGCCCCACATCTCTCTCCACTGACATCCGTCTGGTGCTTTGGGCCAGACTGGTTCTCCAGAGCCCAGCTCTGATTTCCTGCTCAGTAACCTCCCCTGGCTTGGCTGACACTGGGGTCTGCCCTCCGTTTCCCTTTCAGGACCCCGTCTCCCCACTCCTTTTTCTAGACCTGCCCACCAGACAAACAGTTCCCACTGCTAACCCCCTCAACACTGGGGGCACCATGCTTAGCCTGTCTTGTTCCCCTTCCCCGGCTCCTTCTGCATCCCAGTCTCTCGTCGCATTCTTTCCTCCTCCCAGACCTGTTGGTGGCTGGTGGGGAGGAGCAGGCTGGCTCCCAGGGATGCTTTGCCAGCGCGGCTGTCCCCGCGGCGGTCTTCTTGGTCCCGGTCCTGGCCATGGGGGCCTTCGTGCGGGGGAGGAGGACACGCACCGCCCATGGCCGACCTCTGAGCTGTACATCGTGAAGCCAGCTGGACACGGCGCCGGCGCTCTCAGACACCAGCCTCCGACAAATTGAGGGCGCAGAGCTAACAGCACCTAACTCTGCTTACCTGACGCAGGGACATGGTTGGGAGGGCTGGGAGGGTGAAGGAAGGTGGGTGGCTAGGTTTTCCCCGGATGCAGAGGCCAGGCACTGGGACACAATATTCCTGGTAAGCAGGTGACCCCATCTACAGTCCTTCAGGTAATGGTGAGTCAAACACCATTAACATCAGAGCTTTCTCCAGGTGGAATTTCTCTTCTGACCTTTTATAAGTGAGTTATTAGGCCTATGGACTGAATCTGAGCTTTTCTTTCTGGTAGGGCAAACTGAATAAAGGGCCTTCTTCGAAGCAAGTGTCGGTTTGGTCCATGTTTCCCAGTGGTTCACCCAAGCATTGGGTCCACTTCAAATTAAACACACAGGTAGGATGGGCTGTCGGAAGCAATGACAGACAGCAGGTGGTTCTGCCCTGTGGCTTCTGGAACCTTCTAGGGAATAGAGAGACCATCCTCCCAGAGTCCCTGGGAAGTTTTGATCCTGCCCAAAGCAGGAAATGCAGGATGAAGGCGAGGGAAAGAAGAGAACGCTAACTGCGTCATAATCTTTAGCGCGCGTAGTTTCAGATTAAAGATGACTGTCTCCACTTCTCCGGGAACCCGTGTCTTCGGCTTTTGACGTCATGTCCAGACTGTGGGCTAGGGAGGGTCCTGGGAAGGAGCAGACCCCGCAGGGCCCCCAGGATCTCTGTGCATTCGACTGGGCCGCCAGGAGTCCTGTTTGCATGAGGTCTCCGGGGAGAAAGAGGTTGACACGTGGCTCCAGGAGCTCAGACAGAGTAAAGGGATGGATGGGTTCCAAGAAGGCAGTATGTTTTCCAGGAGGTGGGACAGAAGCCAGCCTCTGGGTCCCTGGGTCAGGTACAGTGGGAATGGAGGCTTTGGCAAACTGTCCCCACAATGCCATCGCTTGCCCCTGATCCAGTCTGAGGACTCAAGAAGGGGCTGCTGAGACGAGCCAAAATCCAGAGGTTTGGCTTGAGCAGGCAAGACTCTGTCCGGCAGGGCAGTGTCGCAGGGGAACTCCTGGAGTGAGGGCACGGAGAATTCCCACAGAGAAGCAGCCCAGGGCTGCGGTGAGGAAAGTTCAGTCACCACGGGGTGTCGGTGAGCCCGAGCCCTGCGTTTGTAGCCCAGAGCCATGGGACTTTCCATTCTCCCTGCCTTCACTGCCCGCACTCACTGCTGCCCTCCCAGGCTGGGCAGGTGAAGGAAACCCTTGAGGGTCCCCAGTGATGGCCAGTCTGCCCTGAGAAGCAAGGACAATGCAGTGAAATGCAAGCACCAGGCCAAGGTAGGAGGGGTCTGAGCAGATGCGGAAGAAGTGACAATCTGGAGCTGACACTCGGGCTTTGAAATACACATCAAAGGAAGAAAACAGCCAGTCAGATACCTGAGAACTGCCACAAGGAGCAGAGTCCGAGAACCCACAAGTGATCCTGAGTCTATTAGTCATTGGTTCATTCATTCATTCATTCATTCATTCAAATGGTGTCTGCTCCAAGCACTGGGCCCTGTGGCTGCAGAGAGGAGTCACAAATGGCCCTACCTTTATAGAGGATACTTGCACCTGCCTGGCTCCTCCAGGAACCTTCTTTCCCCTTGAGACTAGTCCCCAGGAACCAGTCGCCCCTCACAGGTGTCCGCCATCTCTAGACTAGCTCTTGGCCGTGGGCTCTTGGCCACCCCCTGGGGAGAAGTTATGGCCCTTTTCCTGAGTTAAGGGCTGTGCTTGTGGCAGGTGTTCCGTGGCTGTCTGTGTTCGAGGAATAGACGTGGATGTGGCTTGCTGGGAACAAGGCTTCCCTTTGCCAGCAATGGGGCTCTGTTTGTGGCGGGCTGGGTCAGATGGGGGGGGGGCGACAGCACCACCAGATGGCGCAGGGGAGCCTGCGGATCTCAGGGGAGGAGAGTGCAGCCAGGTGGGCAGAGCCAACATCCCATGCAGGTGTGAAGGCAGGTGGATAACGGCCAACAGGGCCCTGGCAGGTGGCGACTCGGTACAGATGAGTCTATGTGACCGGGAGATCCAGGCGGCAGGTGGAGGCAGACGGTGCGGCCGCTGGAGGCAGGGCAATGCCCCAGGACCGGGGCTCTGGACCGAGGCTGCGGGAACAAGTCCAAATCTCTGGCACGGAGGACATGGAGGACAGGCACGGCGGTGGTGTGGGGGTGCACGCGTGGGGGCCACGCCTCCCTCTGCGCTTCACACGCCTCCCTGGTGTGGCTCCTGCTTCCCGCACCTTCAGGACTTGCTCAGAAGGTGAATGCCCTGGGCTCCCACGTCAACGTTGACCCGCCCTCAGCGGAATGACTGACACCCAGACACTATGCCCCAAATGTCAGGGGAACAGCAGGCCGGGTCACGTGGCATCTGTTCTGAGTTGCGCCTCCTTTCCCCTTCTGTGGACAGAGCCTGACCTGCCCCTTCAGAGGACCAGCATCTCTCCCAACTCACCTTCCTGCCATCCCACTTGCAGACACCAGAGGGCGCTGTGGCCCAAGCCTAATGCCCTCTTGGTCCTGGCGAACTCGTGGGTTTGCTTCCTTTCGGGTGTCAGTAGTTATCAATCGTAAGGAGACCTGGTGGCGCAATGGTTAAGCACTTGGCTGCTAACCGAAAAGTTGGTGGTTCCAACCCACTCCCCACCCACCCACTAGCTCTGCGGGAGAAAGATCTGGTGATGTGCTCCCTTAAAGATTATGGCCTAGAAAACCCTATGGAGCAGTTCTACTCTGTCACATGGGGTCACTGTAAGTCGAAATCAACCCAGCGTCACTCAACAACAGCAACAGTTCTCTATCATAGGAAGCTGTTCCATGGTTTTTGAATTCAGCTGCTAACCGAAAGGTTAAAAGTACCTCAGAAGAAAGGCCTGGCAATCTACTACTGAGAAACCAGCCATTGAAAGCCCTGTGGAGCACAGTTCTACCATGACACACATAAGGTCGCCGTGAGTCAGAATCGATTTGACGGCAACTGTTCCCCCCACTACACCTCCCCGCCAGTAATTTTCAGCTGTAATAAAGAACTCTTGCAAAAGCCTAACACTGCCCCATTAGCTTTTCTTTAAAGGAACAATCCTATTTTAGTCTCTGACAGTGGAGCGATTGGGTAGGTCCCTCTCCTCCCTGACCCCTGCCACAGGCTGAAGGCTGCCCAGGAACTCCTCGAGCCCCTGCCTTCCCCTGCCTGTCACTGGCTCAAGGACCCTGCAGTGGCCGGCCCAGGATCCTGCAGACTGCAGGGACTCTGAGTCCTGATTCTATCTGACAGCATCAGGCGCCTCCCGGCGTGCCCTGGTCACAGCAACTCCAGCCCAGAATCATTCGTTCCAGGGGCAGTGGACTTGACCCCAGTGTCTTCTCCCGATGGATGGTGTTTGGCCTGGGACACACAGTATTAGTGTGTATGTGCTAGGAGAGGCAGTCTCGGGGCATCCTGACAGGCGGGAGAAGTCGGCTGGGGAAACCCATGCAGGGGTATGCTACATTTTCAGAAATTTGCAAAGACGTTGTTAAACACAGCCTTTCTTAAAAGTTAAATTGTAGAAACTTACAGTTACGTGAATAATATTAAGAACAAGGGTAATAAATACTCAAAACCCATCACTTCCTAGGTATTTTACTCCATTTTACTGCTATCCTTGCTGAAGTTAATCACACCTATTGTATCTGGTGGATCTATAATGCAGTGGTGTGGTATTGTGTGTCTCTTCTCGACTCCACACTTAGAGGCATCACGCGATCTCATTACTTTGGCCTTGGTGGGAGTGTTTACACCACAGTAATCATCCTACAAACCAAGCCTCCTCCTTTGCCCCCAGAGAGGCTGCTGTTAAATTTTCCCTACACACCACTGCCCACAGTTCACCAGGACAGGGACAAATCCACCGAGAGGGCTTGGCAGAAACCTCCATCGGTGGTCACTATGCTGAAATATACTCCATTAGAATTGTATCAAAGAGCCCTGGTGGTGCAGTTGTTAAGCGCTCCACTGCTAACTGAAAGGTCAGGTGATTCTAACCCACCAGCCACTCTGTGGGAGAAAGATGTAACAATCTACTTCCATAGAGATTACAGCCTTGGAAACCCTTCGGGGGCAGTTCTATTCTATCGTACAGGGTCACTATGAGTCAGAATCAACTCGAGGGCAATGGGTACTAGTATTAGCATTTCGAAAAAAAAGTCATTGCCATCAAGTTGCTTCCAACTCATAGCAACCCTATAGGACAGAGTAGAATGGCCCCATAGGGTTTCCAGGGAGCAACTGGTGAATTTGAACTGCTGACCTTTTGGTTAGCAGCCCATCTCTTAACCATTTCACCACCAGGGCTCTGGTATTAGCCTTACATCCTACGAAGAGCATCTGGATTTCAATAGGTTTGGCATCTAGAGTTACCGAGGCAAGGAGAGACCTCCCGCAAGCACCCACAGGCTCTGATGAGGGCAGGGCCCATCCTAAACCGAGGTGGGCCAAGGTTCTTCTGCCAGGCCAGCTCTGACCCCAGAGAATAGGTAAGGCACCCAGGTGCTGGTTTGGGGCAGATCAGGGAGATCACTCAGGAGTCGGGGCCATGGTGCAGAAGACCCCATGGAGTAGGACCCAGTGGATAGGTCAGAGCCTGGTGGTGTGTAAAGGGCTCCCTCCAATGTCAGATGTCCTCCCATGCCTTCCGCCTTGGCCTCCACAGGCTCTGTCCTCCCAGGCCTCTGGAGCGAGGCCAAGACTCCAAGGGAAGACAAGGGACCCTGCCTGGCCCAGCATCAGATGCATTTTCCTGCTTCTCTCGGCTGTCATATGGAGGTCTGATGCCTGCCTCTCAGTCAGCTTTGATCTCTGGCAAGAGGCCACCTTGGTGACAGTTCCACTCTCCCTGGAACTCTATACCTGTGTGTGGCAAGGAGCCTGCATTAATTGTCT